TATCTCCATTTACCCCTAATAATTTTCTCTGCTCTAAAGTCTAATATATCTGATAAAAGTTTTCTTTTGATTTATGTTTGCATGGTATATCTTTTTTTCATCTTTTTACTTTTAACCAACCTATTTCATTATATTTAAATTAAGATTCTTATAGACAGTATATACTTGGGTCATTTTTGTTAATCATTCAGAAAATCTCTTACTTGCTATATTTAGGTCATTTACATTTAATGTAATTCTTGTTATTTAGGATTTAGTCTACCTTTTTGTTTGATTTCTGTTTATCCCCAGTGTTTTCATTTCCTCACTTTTTCCATTCCTGCCTTCTTTTAAGCTATTCAAACATTTTTAGTATTATATTTTAATTTATTCTGTTTTTTACCATAGCTCTTTGTATACAGTTTTTTAGTGGTTGATATTGATTACAAATACTTAACTTTTCACAGTCTACTTATGACCAATATTTTACCACATCAATTAGAATATGGAAACCTTACCACCTTATAGTTTTCTTTGTCATTCTCCTCCTTTATGACTGTAAACCTCATCAGACAATATATTTTTTACTTTTCTACCATCAAAAATCTTTTAAAGAAAGAAAATATCCTCTTATATTTACCATTTCTACTGCTTTTCCTTCATTCTTGATGTTCCAAGTTTCCTTCTGGTACTATTTCCTTTCTCTCTTGAAGACCTTCCTTTGGTAATTCTTTTAGAACAGCTTTGTTTCTAATAATTTTCCTTTATCTGACAATGTCAATATTTCATCTTCATTCCTGAATGATATTTTGATATGATGATGTCGTTCCTGAATGGTATTTGCTACATATAGAATTCTAGTTTGATAGTTCATTTATTTATTTATTTTTTTTAGCACTTTAAAAATATTGTGCCACTCTCTTCTGGTTGCCATGGTTTCTAATGAGAAATCCACAGTAATTCAAATCATTGTTACACTATAGGTAATGCATCCCCCCCCCCCCCCCCCGCCTGCTTTCAAGATACTATCTTTTGTCTTCAGCAAGTTTGATTATGATGTGTTTGGATGTGGATTTCTTTAGATTTATCTTGTTTGGGATTTACTCAGCTTCTTGAATCCGTGGGTTTCTTTCTTTCACCACACTTGGAATAGTTTTAGTTATGATTCCTTCAAATATCTTTTTATTCATTCATTCTCTGTCCTCTCATTCTGGAACTCCAGTGACAAAATTTTTCATTATTGTCCCATAGGTCCCTAAGACACTATTCATTAGTATTTTTAATCTTTTTTTTTTTTTTTTCTCTATTGCTCTCTGGGTCATTTGTATTGATCTATCTTCAAGTTCACTGGCTCTTTTATCTCCATTCTGCTATTGAGTCTATCCAGTGAGATTTTTTATCATTTTGTTTATTATATTTATAGTGTTAAAATTTCCATTTGGTGATTCTTTATATATACATATATATATATTTTAACTGCTACATTCTGTTTTAGTACTTATTTCAATAATGTTAGTAATTGCTTCATTTTAGTATTTTTATAACAACACTTTAAAATCTATGTCAGATAATTCCAGCATCTGTGTTGTTTTATTATCTTCTGTTCATTGCCTTTTCCCACATGAGTTCAAATTTTCATGGTTGTTTATATGCCAAGGGCTTATGGTTTGAATGTTTGTCCCTCTAAAGCTCATGTTGAAACTTAATCTCCCTTGTAACAGTATTAAGAGGGTAACCTGACTATGGTATTTGAAAGGTGGGCCTTTAAGAAGTGATTGGATTATGAGGGATATGCCCTCACGAATGGATTAATTCGCTCATGGGCTAATGGATTAATGGGTTATCATGGGAGTAGACTGATGGCTTTATAAGGAGAGGAAGAGAGACCTAAGTTAGCACAAGGGCATGTTCAGCTCTTTTGCTATGTGATTCCCCGCACTGCCTTGGGTTCTTTAGAGAGTTCCCACTAGGAAGAAGGCCCTCACTAGATATATCCCTCAACTTTGGATTTCCCAGCCTCCAGAACTGTAAAAAATAAATTCCATTTTTTTAATAAGTTACCCAGTTTCAGGTATTCCATTATAAGCAGCAGAAAATTGACTAATACACTTAGTAATTTTGAATTTTATCCTGGTCATTTAAAATATAACGTTATGAAAACTCTGTCTTGTTGAAACTCTACAGAGAATATTGGTATTTTTTGTTTTAGCAAACAATTATGCCGGGTAGGTTCAGGCTGCAGGTTGGCACTGTAATTTCAGTGTCAGATCAGTTTTAAAGGTTTTGCAGTGCTTATGTGGATCTATCTGGTGTGTCCTTCCCCCAGGGGTCAGTATGGGGAGGTGGGCAGAGGTTTACATTAGCTCAGTTCTCCAAGTCTTTGGTATGCTGTCAAGATCAGTGCCATGCATGCATAGGTTGGGGTCGAGCCCAGGAGTTCATAAACAAGTTTATGGGGCTGCTTTCCAGAACTTTTCATTATCTCCCACATACTTTCTGGTTCCCTGGATCTCCCATTTTCTATCTGGCCAGAAACTGCCCACTTCCACAGTTGTGTCACACAGGGCCAAACACAGAGAAAAAGAGCTTGGGTTGCTGATGCCTGTTGCTGCTACTACTGCCATGGCTGCCACCACAGAAGTGCCTGGGGTCTGGAGCACAGGAGGATGGAGGAAAAGGAGTGAAAAAAACCTGGGGGAAAGGGTTCATCTACCTGCTAGATTTTGGGAGTTCCCTTTTCCACTTCTGAAGCTGGGTTTCTCCTGGAGCCCTCTCTGTCTGCCTCACAATGCTCACTTCTGGGGTTTGGGTTTGTTCAGCTCAGGCTCGCCTATACCGGAAAAAGAGAAGTGGTTTGGTAGAACTGTGAATTCACGGTCCTCTCCCAGTCTGCCTGTTGGTGTATACTTTTCAGTGTTCTCAAATAGCTGTGCTATGCATTCTGTTCAGTTTTGATAGTTGCATTCAGGAGAGAAAGGGAGAGAACTGGAACCCTGACCGACATACAGTCATGTGTCGCTTAATAACTGGGATATGTTCTGAGAAATGTGTCATTAGGAGATTTCATCATTGTTCGAACATCATAGAATATACTTGCACAATCCTAGATGGTCTAGCCTACTACACTAGGCTGTTTGGTATAGCCTGTGGCTCTGACCATTGTCGTATTTACAGTCCATCGTTGACTGAAACGTCATTAGGTAGTGCATGACTGTAATTTTCAATTTTATTTTCTAATTAAGTCATCCTTATATACAGGACAACAGTTGATGTTATTTATAAGAGTTCAGTTAAGTGGCCAAATCACATCACTTTTAATTACTTCTTTTGGCTTTGTTGATTCCTACACTTCTGTCAGCTGCACATGATGCTATTTTTGTCTCTTCCTTTGATCACATAATTCTCACTGTATTTTTCTATTTGCACCTTCTAGCCAGCCTTATGAGTCAATGTAATTTTGTCAGTTCTTTGCGACTTGAGGGGGTGATTTCCTTGGAGCACAGCCTCTGCACACAATACCAGGCAGGGCTGGTTGGGGGCAGTGAGCCTGGATGTAGCTCAGCTGAGCTGCCTGGGGGCAGTTCTGAGAAAAATCAAGTGGGAATCTTCACTGAAGACCACTGATCTGGAGTGCACCTTCAATATAAGTTTGTGCTTACTTCAGACATAATTGAAGTACAGTTGACATTTTCAAATAGCAGACTTTTGAACTCATCAACTTGAATGTAATTTCAGAACAAATGTCCATGCAGCTGTTTTAAGATGCAAATCTTTGCAGAAGTTACACCTGATGCCGTTGAACTGGCAGCTGGTCTCTGGCACACTCAGGAAGTGGGAGAGGATCTCAGTGGAGGTTCAAATTCATTCACATGTAGTTCTGAGTCCACGTTAAGGTTTAATTATCCTTGTGACCTTCCTATCACCATGAGTGATTGGTTAAGAAATGTTCAGCCTCTTCTTGACAACTAGGGAGATAATAATCCAGCCTTGATCATTATGATCAAGTGGAAAGACACAGAACACTCGAGCAACTGGATCAGCTAAGGCTAATCTAGTTCCAGCTACATAGTGGGAAGAAAATCAGGCTCCATGTGAACTCCTGTAGGGCACCTTAATTTCACTAAGCCTCCTTACCTCATATATAAGGAAGGTGAGACTGTTGAGAAGAATAAATGAGAACATGTATAAGAAACTGTAAAGCCTTCTGAAATATAAAGTGCCATACAAGTGCTTACTACAAAACTTTTAAACTAGCAAAGATAAAAATAGGACATGAATGGTGTATTGAGAAGCAAGTCTAATACAAGAATCAAAAGTTTATTCCTAAAGTCTTCTCTTCTTTGCCTTATAGAACATGGACTCATTTTTTGGAGGGGCTGAATTATGAGGTCTCTGGGTACATAGGCTTGGTCCATCCCATCTGAGCCCTTCCAGTCCTGAGAGTTTATGATTCTGCACATAGGTGCTGCAAAGTCAGGGATGCCCAAGAGTATTTCTCCCAGGATTGTGGTGATTAGCATAGGCAAACTTCCTGGGATTTGGTTATTAGTGGCTCCTCTCCCATGCTCCTCAGATCCCCAGGCACCCAGAATCATGGTCCTTCTGCCCATGTGAAAAAGATTGTATTGGGCTTAGACCCCCAAGGATAGGTTTCTAATTACTCGTCTGGCTCTCTGGGTCCCAGCACTAACAATGTAGTTTTGCTTCAACTGGAAAGTTCAGGGTTCCAGATACAAACCCTCTTGAGGGACCCACAGGAGGCACCCCACACTGAACTGGCCATTTCCAGCACCAGCAGACTTCCTTATGCTCACCCACAAGGGTCACCAGTGTTCTGCCTCTATCCCCGTGGCAGCAGTGCCCTGGGGGTGGTTACAGGGAGCTGCAGACCAGCCCAGGGCACACTGCCCAATGACACAGGCAGCTATAGCACCATACAGGCCTGACCCTCATAGTTCCCATCCAACACAGCATGAGTCAAGGGTGGGCTGGCTGACCACTTTCTTCTCCCTCCCTTGCAGATCACTTCCAATGAGAAGCATCTGGAGAGCCTCAAGAATGCAGACAGCCTCCTGCAGGCTCTGGAGCAGCTGGCCCCAGCCAGTGGGTAAGTGGAGCCCAGCAGGAGCAGTGTGCAAAGTCTGCTCAGGGTCAGCAGGCACTCTCAACCAGCTCCTTCTCCCAACCACTGCCCCCACTTGCACCACACCAGGGACCACCTCCTTCCAGCCTGTCATTGCCCACTGAGATCCCTCCCACTGTGGGAAGGGACACTCAGCCCCTCTGTCCCCTGGTAATCCCCACTGTGGTGTGGGAGGGCAGGAATCAACAGGGGGAGAGGTCTTGGCCCTGCCAGGGGAGGCAATATTCCCACCTCAATGCATCTGAGAAGGCTGAGTAGATCGTGACCAGGTGGGAGATGTAGTGACCCTCATGAGAAGGTGTGTGGGTGCACACGCACCCCCATCAGCAGCCCAGCTGGAGGTGTTATCACCACCTTGTGGAGGCCCTGTGGGCTCGGGCAGGGCTGCGGCAGCACCACCAGCCCTGCCTGCTCCACAGCCAGACCTGTAGAAGGGAAGCTTAGAACACGTAGGGCAGAGTATCTACTCTCAGAAGCCAACAGTGTGGGGTTAGGCCCACCTCCCAGTACTCAGCTATGCAGTCAGTGTGCCCAGACCATACTGGAAGTGAGGACAACAGACCAGAGCAAGGCCTGTCACCAGGAGCGTGTTACATACTGTGAAGGCAGGAACCAGTGTCTCTGTCAGCCGCATAGTGTCGCCACTGCTTGCTGGAGTTGGAGTGAGAGCTGTCGGGAGGGTTCATCCCACAGTGACATGCACCACCCCCCCACTGAACTTGAGAGGTACATGTGGGGCTTACAAATTTTTACACTATCATCCAAAATGATAGTGCCAAGTGATCAGAGAAAACTTACATAGGAATCAAGAGAAAGTTGCCCCCAGGTATCCATCCTTCACTTGGTTGGTGCTGTGTCACTGGGCTCCCTGTGTGACAGCACCAGAGCTGGCCGTGGTGCAGGCTCAGTGAATGTAGTCACATCTCCTCTCTCCAGCCATTGTCCCCAAAGTTGAGGGAAGTGGCCAGAGGTTGTGGTGGCCACAGTTCCCTGAGTCCCAGCTGCTCTATCCACTCTGGGAAGAAGGACCCACATCCTAAGGGGTGTCTGATCCTCACTGGATGTGTAAGACATGGAATGGCATCTGGCATTTCATGGCAGTTTCTGCTGGTTTTTAGAACTGCAGAGGTTTATGAAATCTGCTTCCTGGTGTGTTTGGGTTTGGTATTAATTTGAAAAAAAATGTGTGTGGCTGAGGCATGGCTAAGAAGGTAAGTCTACAGAGAAGGTTCAGCTCGCACCAGCCTTTTGCATTTAATCCTGGATTGGTCTGCCCCAGCCCCTTTCCTTTTTAGTGTAAACCAGGGAAGTAGTTTCTTATCCGTGGATTTCTGAGGGGAGGGGAAGGAGAAGATGGGTGTGCCTGTGGTATAGGGCATGGATAGTGACTCCCTGGCTGGGCTCTAGGCCTTCTGCTAGACTGGTTTCTGGCATCCTTCCCCAGGGGACCTGGCCTTGTGCAAAAATCCACGAGGAAGCCACCCTAAGCAGATTTGTGCTGCGGAGGGCACATGGAGGGCTGCTGAGGAGTGGAGTTTAGCAGGTTGGCCCTGAGAACCCTCCCCTCCAGGGCGTGCCTCTGTGGGGCTCCTCACCTAGCAGGGGCCTCTGGCTGCCTCTAGGCCCGAGCTAGCACATCCTCATGCTGGACCAATTTGGGAGAGCTGGACCCAAATTTGGAGTGAATGTGTCAAAAGAAGGCTCAGTGCTCCATGAGGCCAGCGGCCTCTCCTACATCCACACCCAACACTCCAGCAACTAAAACATCTTCACTGGGCAGATCTTGTGCTGGGTGGAGAGGTTGCTCTTGCGGGTTGTCTCATTTGGGCTTTGTTCAGATGGCCCAACCAGAAAGGGTTTTCTTGTGTCAACCAAGAATGAGTGGATGGCAAAAGTTCCCAGTTTTGCTGCTGCTCTGCCAGAGGTTGGTCTGCCTTCCTTGCCAGCCCCTGTGGTGGCTCTGGCAGGCAGGGTGGGCAGCGTGGCCCCACCAGACTAACCTGGGCTCAGCCAGGAGCAGCCCGAGTTCAAACGCATTCCTGCTGTCCCTTGGGGCCTTTGATGCGCAGAGCAGGAATGCATGGCACCATCTCCCAGTCACTGCCCCATCCCACTGCCACCCACGTGTTTTATGCAGTGCACCCGCCCCTGCCCCCCCTCCATTTATTTGGTAACAGCTCTATTTCTGTGCAGTCAAGAGTGTGCCATGATCTAATTTTACCCTTCAAGGGTAACCGCTATGTTAGTGTCATTCTTTTCTTTGCTAACAGTTGTTAAGGCACAGGTTTAAATGTGTCTCAATTTGTTCTGGTTGCAAAGTTTCCATTTTAAGTTTTTAATTGCACATCCACACCTATGAGAGTAAGAAACTCAGACCTCCTGGCTGATTGGCTGGGAAGCGGTACTATGGAGCAGGGCAGGTCAGTGTGTGGAGTGGGTCTGGGATGGACAAGTCAGCTCCACATGGGAACCGGACAGGCCCACTGTGGGCCCCAGGCTGGAGAGAGTGTGGCTGCCCTCCGTCTGACTTGCCCTTACAGGGTAGTAACAGTGCTCCTGGCAGACGTGGCTCATATGGTGAGTGGTGGCCAGGGCCAGGAGCTCAGGCCTAGCTTAGGTGTGCCCCACCAGGACTGTGGGCCGAGGGTTCTCACCTCACAGCCCGAGTCAAGGTTTCCTGCTTCTGCTTCCGAGAAGATGATGTGCATGCACAGCTCTAGGAAGCAGCTGGTCCATCAGATACTTGGGTGCAAAAGAGGCCAGCCCCTTTGATAGGGTGGGCATTTTATCCTGTAGATGCCTGTAAAGTGATCTACTTTTTTTTTTTTTTTTCATAGTTCATCTGCTGACAATGTGGTGGCTTCCTTGGCCCAGGAAATCCTACAAGCTGTCAGCCACTAGGCAAGAAGGCACTTAGCAAAAGCCCACTCTGAAGCACCAACCCTTGACTGCACAGGCAAGGTCAGCTGCCAAACATAGTGGCCACATCACCACCCAGAGCTGTATTTGGACCTAATAAAGTCAGCTGAATCCAGAATCTGCCAGCTGAAGTGCTCTCACTGACTCTAGGCCCTAGAAAACCCACCTACAACAGACTTCCTCCGTTCCTATAGGAAGCATCTGGGAAGCCCAGGTTTGCTAGCTGTTCTCAGAAACATACTTCCCCACTCCATGTGGGCCAGGTAGGCCTCCTCTAAAGCACATACTGCCTGTGCTAATAAAGAAGTGGATGAGAAGCACAGTTCTCTGTAAGCCGTTGTTCCCTCCTTGGGGAAGAGCTGAAAGGCAGGACCAGACAGGAATGTTTGCCCAGCTGCAGCTCCAGAGCAAGCCTTTGGAAGCTAGTTTTAGCCTCATTATCTTCTTCCCACTTTTACCTGCCTGGCTTTTTTTTTTTTTTTTTTTTTTTTTTTTTTTTCATTTCAGGGGCAAACTAATTCTAAGAGTCCTGGGGAGGACTGGGCAGGACTCACTAACCAGCAGATAGTTAAACATTTGTATAAAGAATGCAGAACGCTCAAGGAACACTGGCTTCCTTGCAGGCTTGCCCATCTAGATGGGATGATGGCATCAAGGCAGAATCATTCCCCACAACTTGTATCATGTACCTCCTTATCCCAGAAACCTTTCCAGCTTTTGCCTCATGTTCCCTCACACACATCTTCCTACTTCCTATGTAAGAGTCAAGCCCATGAAAATATTTGGTGGACACTATGGAAAGATGCTGGGACTGCTTTACTGGGGAAGGCTTGCTCTTGAATCTGGACTGGAAGGTAGGTCCTGAGCAGCTCCAACCAGATGAGTAAGTTGAGGCAATCCTTTGGCCTCTCTAGGGCCTCATTTTCCCCATCTGTGAAGTGAAGGGGCTAGAAGAGAGCAATGGCTACTAACCCTCTCCCAGCTCTAGTGCTCTGTGCTTCTCCTAAGGGAGAGGGGATTTGTCCCTTAACAAACACTGCCCAGATGGATTCTGTTCCAGGCAGCAGCCACCTGCAGGTAGAATGGGTGGGACAGGCAAAAGTGGTAGCCACGCAGGTGCACAGAAGGCCCCACCTACTTCATCACGGGAAGCTGATCACGTTGTCACCAACTGCACCACTTTGACACAGTGATCTGGGTAGTTTGCCAGTTTTCATTTGGCTTTATAATAAAAACATCAGCCCTGTGCCCAACCACATCAAAGGCCTCTATGTCAATTACCTTATTTAATCCCCACCACAACCTGCAAAGCAGGCCTTCTAGCTTCATTTCATAGATGAGAAAACACTCAGAGGAGCCGATCCACTTGCCCAGCAGCCCACAGCTTGGCTTAATTTAGGACTTACTCCATGGCCCCTGAGTATCCCCCAGTGGGGTGTTCAAACCTTGAGCTGTGACTAATTGGGGCATGAGAGTGTGTCCCACCCAGTAACGAGCAGCTTCATTTAACCTCTGCTGGCCTACTTACTGACGGGGTGAGGCTCTAAGGACTTAGTCCTACTGGGCAGTGCCCTCCACCAGGCTGCATGTGCCCATGTAGCCCTGGCCTGGCTGGATTTGCCTGTGCATCTAGGAGTGAGGGGGGAGTAGCTGGTGGAGCAACCAGAGACCTGGATTTCAGCCCCAAGTGCCTTTGCTTGCTGGGCCCAGGAACAGGCAAAGGTCTTGTTTTCCCAGGACATCTCCTTTCATTCAGTTTTCGGGGGAACTGCCTCAGGGTTCTGGGTCTGGAGTGCTCCCAGAGGGTATTTCAGAGCAATGAAAGATTCTTCTTCCTCCTTTCTCCTTTTCAGTTGAACAGGAAGAGATCTTTGGTGTTTAACATAAAATAGGAAGGTCTTAACATCCCAGAACCATTTTGTTGAGTGGACCACCCCTGGCCCTGAGCCTCACAGCATTACCTGTTGGGGAGAAGGCATATCAAGGTAGGCAAGGGACAGGAAGAGGATGGTCCCGAAGGTGCCAGGTCACTAAAGCTAGTTTATGCCAAAGCTTGTACTCTGACATGAGGCTGTGTCCTCCTGGATTAAAGGGATCCTTTTTGTTACTCTTACACAGGTGCCCTATGGAAAGCAGCAGCTCAGGTCCCAGAGTTCAGAGATGGGGGATGTGAGCAGGCTGGCTGGGCAGAGAGGCTGAGAGTGGTAACTCTTCCCTGCCCACCCCAGGCTGCAAGCCTTGTATCTGGCTTCCCAGGCTGGCTGTAGTTCTGAGAAGTGCAGAGCTGGCCCTGGGCCGCCTCAGAGCTCTCAGGACTCTGGCAGTGGCGAGGGACCTAGACCCTCGCACCTACTAACCCTCTCCTACCCTCTATTCCTTGACTTCAGCTGCCTGCCAATTGGGTATAACTTATTGGCTTAGCCTCTCCAGGGATGAATGGTGTTACTAAACCAGTTGTAGGAGGCAAAGGAGGTGGCCAGACCATGAGCGGGAAGGGGAAGCCCAGGTGAGTACCTGCAAGGAACTACCTTCTCTCCCTCCACTAACAGCAGGCCTAAAGCTCCAAGACCTGGCCTTAACTTGGAGCCTGAGAGTAGGTGCCCTCTGAGCTGTACCTCTGTGAAGTGCCATTTGGTTGACTGGCCACATATGTCTTGAGAGGAGCTGACAATCATGTGGGGCAGTTAAGGAGGCTGGGGCCTGTGTGATGCAACAGCATAACTTACTATCTCATGGTTCTTTGCACTTGTCTGTCTTTTCGTGTTTCCCATATTACCTCATGACATTCTCAAGTCAACTCTGTGAACACAGGGCAGGCATTATCCCTCTTTTATAGTTCAAAAAGCAGGGGCTTTAGGCTCTTGTACAAGGTGAGTGATAGGAGGGAAACTGCATCTCTGCACCGTCTTTTCGTGTTTCCCATATTACCTCATGACATTCTCAAGTCAACTCTGTGAACACAGGGCAGGCATTATCCCTCTTTTATAGTTCAGAAAGCAGGGGCTTTAGGCTCTTGTACAAGGTGAGTGATAGGAGGGAAACTGCATCTCTGCACTTTTCTTCCTCCCCTAGCAACAGAAAAACACAATGTAGAAATAAATCTCCCTGATATATGCAGGGGTTGAGTTAAGAGGAGGTAGGGAGGGAAGGAGAAAGCCACAAGAAAGGGCTTGGACCCTTGGGAGAGCTGTCTGGAATGGGGTGGGAACAAGACTAGCCAAAGCTAAGGGGGCTTTGGCCCCAACAGCCTCAAGTTTTAGTGGGACTGTGGAGGAGGGAAGTGTGGGAGCAAGAAGCTGCAGCCTAGAACAAGGACATTTTAAACCGATTCCTTAAGTCCCCTCTGGCCTCTCATCAGAGGCTTAATGTTGAGGACAAAGCATTCACTGTTTAATTACTTTTGAATAGGTGATAGTCAGTGTATGAGCCTGGTAAAAGCACTATATGGTATCAAAAGATGTAGAGCCTCGTCCCTCTCTCTGTCTCCTCCCCCAAGGTGCCCAGTGTCACAAGTGTCTTTGTATGCATCCAGGGATAGTCTATGCACATGTAAGTTTTTTACAAAGATTCTGCCACACACACCCCCATTTTTTTTTAACCCAAACTTTAGCAGATGTAAACTCTGCTCTTTTTCTACTTAATGATGTATTTCTTTACTTAATTGTTTTGAAGATCATTTTTTATTAAAACAGCTTTATTTGCTGGGTTTTTTTTTTTTTCCTTTTGACAGCAGTGGTCCACCAAATGGATGCATCACAATTTGCTTAACCTGTTAATGGGTATCAACAGCACTGCAGTGAATATCCTTGTATGCTTCATGTGAATGTACCTTAAATGAATTCTGAGAGTAGAACTGCTTTGTCAGAGTATCTCTGCCTTATCTAACATGGAAATTCAGGAGTTTATGGATACAGGGACCTTTCACTGTCCATGCCAAAATTTGCCCTGGAAATACATAGGGTTACAGTCCCAGCCTGTCTGAAAGGGTGGGATCACTTTTGCCTCCCTGTATACCTGTTCTGAGATCTGTCCCTGTCACCCCCCCTCCCCCCAGTTCTACTGAGGCCTGTCATCTCCGTCTAGCTTACTGGAGTCTCATGGGGGTGGGGATGGTGGGATGGACACGATAGAGGACTCCATGTAGGATGCTGCTGGATAAGAAAAAGGAATAATCACCTTCTCTGCATACCCCCCCCCCCCCCTTATAATTACATTTAGGTGGGTGACTTGCTCAAGGCAAGGAAAAGCAGTTAGATTCTCACCTAACAGAACAAAACTACTGCAGTAGATTGACCTGGCATTTCTGCTTTATAAACCAAACAGCACAATTCAAATCTGTTTATTATTGTAATAAAAACAAGAATTAAAGAGCATATATATTTCAAGCTATTTCATTACCCAGGATTCAGATACTCAGATCAAAGTCTCATGTCTAAAACATCTGCTCCAACATGAGAAAGCGTCATTCTTTGGCTCCAAAGAGCCATAGTGGCCACTGCAGTGGGATCAAATGTCTAAATCCCAAGGCTGTCTCATAGCCACGATATAACTGAATAAAGGGAAAGCTCACGCTGGAAAGCTCTCTGTAGTGGACTGAATTACGTCCCCCCCCCCCCCCCCCCCCCCCCCCCTGAAGTTTGAATTGTGTTGCCCAAGTTTTATGTATTAGAAACTTGGCCCCCACTGTGACTGTTACTGAATAATTATTGTGATTGAACATCACATACCGCACACAAGTATTGATGTTCAATTCTGTACACCACAGATATGTACAACCAACTTCGTTACAATAAAAAGAAAGAAGGTGGGAAATCCTATTATGGTAATTGAATGGTGGAGCCCTGAAGAGGTGATTAGATTGTAGGACCATGTCATAGTGAATGGATTAAAAATGGTGCTCAGGGGTACGGGTCTGAGGGCTTTAGAAGTAGAGCACGTCTCTCTCGCTCTCTGCTTCTACCATCTTGCAATGTGAGACCCCTGGGTTACTGTCACCACCACCAGAAGAACTTTGGACTTCCCAGCCTCAGAAATTGGTAATCAATAAATTTTCTTTATAAATCATTCAGTTTCAAGTATTTTATTATAAACAGAAACGAACTGATGCACCCTCTTACTCTGAACAGCCAGGCTCTTATCAAGTTTTCTTATCTTCACATCCTATACCCACCCACCTGGGCCAGAAATGCAGTTAGGCAGCACTCCATTTAGGCTTTTCCTCCCCACCACCATTTCTGGTAATGAAAACTTGATTCCTCACTTCCCTCAGTACTTCTACTTACAGAAAAGGTTAGTACCTTGCCAGCACCCTATGCACCTCCCTTCCCGGGTAACCACCATTCTGATTTTTGTGGTCATCTATTTACTTTCTTACTTTCTAGTTTTACTATCCATGGATGCTTTCCTTAAACTAAATTGTACCTTTTTTAATCAATGAAGATAAATGAAGTCGTACCGCATGTATTTGTGACTTGCTTTTGTTCAAGATGTTTGATATACCCATACTCTACCCACATCCAAATGTGTGTGTGTGCTGTAGTTTACTGCATTGTATCTTGTGTAAATGAAGTGATTGTTGGACACGTGTGCTTCCAATGTGGGCTGTCACAGAGTGCCATACTGGATGGAACTTGAGGCAAAAGAAAAACCATCAGTAATATACACACTGCCTTTATTTAAAGAAAAAATTGATATTTTGTTGGTCATGGATGCTTTTCTATATCAGTTTTATTCAAATGGCTACCCAGTTACCTTTACAAAAACGTCCCTCTTTTTTCACAGTGACCTCCAATGCTACCTGTAAAGTGTAAGTGCCTTTGTCTTACTCTTCCATTAATCTGTATTTCTATTCCTGTGCCAATAAATGTTAACTACCTCTAGCATTATAGTTAAGGCTTGACAGCTGCTAGAGCAAGTCTTCCTCTCTTATGCTTCAAGTATCCTGGCTATTGTTCACCCTCTGTACTTCTAAGTACATCCGAGAACAACCTAGCTGAATTTTAACTTTTTAAAATTAAGTTTTTAAGTGGAACTTCAAAAATATGATATTTAGGCAAAGCTCTGAAATGTCTTCTGATTTAAGACAAGTTCTTTAAATGAAATACCTTCCCATGGTTATGTTAAAAGCTGAGCTCACTACAGATCTTCAACGTGTTAACCTACCAGTAGCTCTAGGCTTCTTGGTTATCATGCATGAGGCAGAAGCTGAGACCTACCACCTCACCAACTACATGAATGTTTCTTCTTCAACCCCAATTACATAGACTGCAGTGAATTTTTGTGAAGTAGATGCATTCACTGAAGTTCCTCCCCACATGAAGCTGATTTTTAACAAAAAGAAAAAATGCATGTTTGTTTACTCACTATCATAATAAAAAAACATAGTAAATCCAAAACAGTTCTCAAGCACAAAACACTTTCCCTTTTAAAAAGACCAAAACACAAGTCTTAACAGGTCTGCCCTAAGAGATGTGATGAACTAAGCTTGTCAGACCTACCACTGCGATGACAGGATCTGGCAGATAGTGTGGAAGAAGGCCCATTCCGGTTCTCTCTGATTCTGTTCAGATAGATAGGCATCAACACTTCAACCTGCTTAATTATCAGTTCAAAATGGAGTTGAAGGAATCCCCCTCTCCCAATGAGTCACACTTGTGTGAAGTTGCTAGAAATCCAAATCCAGGTAGTTAATATTTCATTATTACCTTAATGGAATGTAAAACTATCTGAAAGGGTTTGGGGTGAGGGATGCCCATTTGACTTCTAGTTTTACTCTATTTCTTTTAGCTCCATGTAGGCCAAACACTAGTACCCCCATGCCTTTGAACTGAGAAGGCTTTTGGTCACTTGGGCGATTACTCACATGACCACAGCAAGACTCCAGGCTAAAGGATACTTGGCCATAGGCTCTAAGCCAAGAGTCAATCACAATGTTTAAGGATGAGCCACTTTTTTTTTGGGGGGGGGGGGGGCAATTTAAACCAGGGCCAAGTGCTAAAGAAACTTGGCAAATAATCCTATCTAGAGGTAAGGCCCTCTCTAATAATGACGATTTAAATTACTTCGCTATATGTTTTCCTTAGGTTGAAGTTGAACTGGATAAACTTAGTATCCTCACAAACCATTTAATGACAAGGATAAGAAGATGACACAATCGAATGAATTAAAAGTTTAATTCTGAACCATTTTTATAACCGCATTTTTCTCTTGAAGCATTGTATCACAGCAGGTTACAACAACTTTGGGATAAAAGGCAACAGGTAAACTGTCCAAAACAAGGTTCCAAATAACACCTCTTACTGATTTACCCTACCCATACATATCCCAAATAAAAGTTTTTGATCAAAAACATGAAATAGATCCACCTGCTTATTTTAAGCATATTAAAAAGGAAACTAATTGGACCATTTCTATTTGTCTATTTTATACAAAAAGGCTACACAATGTTACACTTTATTCAGATTACAATAGAGTGATTATGAATTAGTGTTCTACACCATTACTCAATTCTTAAAAATTAGAAATCGCTGTAGCAGTATTCACTATAACTTAACACTACAAGAGACTTAAAAAACTAACAGTTACTGCAAAAAAGAAAAAAAAAATTAAAGAGCTACTTCAAAGCAAGCAAAGTCAGTACCATTACAGATATTAAAAAAAAAATTTTTTTTTAACAAGCAAGGCTAGGGTTTGATAAATTCCATCTTGTGATCCATTCTTGTGCATTCTTCACTTCTTGAGTCACTCCCAAAATCCATTTGTATTGTTACTCCTCGACCAAAAAGGACCAGAACAAAAAGTTTACTTCAATTGTTCCCATAGGAAACTCAGCTTGGTTAGTGTGTCAGGCACTTTCTGAGATACCAGCCCACCCCTCGAGCCCTCTCAGCAACTCTACAGGCCAATCACAATGCAAGTTCAGACAATACAGCTGTATAAAGAGAGAAAGGCTGCTATTAATGTTTAAAACAGCAAATGTTACTCATTTGAGTATTAAGTTGCAAAAGCTGTGGCAAAAAACATTAAAGTTAATAACTTCCACACATGATCACGTAACAACCAGAAATCTGAGAACACTCAAATGTTCCAAGACATCTCCTTTCAAAGTATATACCTGTTTTTGTGGCAGATTTACAAATAGGCCTAAACCACTCCCACCCTACCAACCAAGTCTTTCTGAAGTTCTGTAGGCAGAGTAAAAGTATTTTACCCAAACTGGCTTTCTTTAACTTCTTACCTAAAAGATGATTTACAGGTCAGTATCAAACCAGGCCAGCTGATTACTATCACCTGGAGGCAGCCCATCCATGAGGTCCTGAGCATGCCCCAGATCTGGCAGCCCATCAACTGGATAGTCAGCACCAGGGTGATGGCCACCCATCTCATGCTCCATCATGGGGTCCATACCCAAGGCATCCTGGCCATATCCACCAGAGTGAAAAGAACGATAGCTGGGATCTAGAAGAGTCAGGGGAAGCAACAAAATGGGAGGGAGAGAGGGAGGAGAAACAGAATAGAAGTTAATACCGAGGTTAGGGCATCCAAACTCACTGCTTTCTAAACCAGCACTGCTTTCTAGCCTCTTCAACTTCTAGCTTTCTTCAGCCAAATAATTAGTTTGTGCCAGGTCATCCATGAGAGAGTACAGAAAATGTCTGTTTCTACCAGAGGCACACCCACGGGTTCTAGTCACACCATCAGTCTACCCCTGAACACTCTGCATCTGCCCTGGCAGAAATTTAAGGTTCCTGAGGAGAAGAAGCAGCAATCTACTGTGTGTTTCACCACCTAGGCATTGAGAAGTCATGGGAAGGAGTTTAAGAAAGTAACAAGGATGTCTGGCAGGTGTAATCTTATCTGTTGAAAAGTCCAGGTCATAACATAAAAGTACTGAGAAAAGACACTGTTTCCAATGAAACCTTACCATATTCAATCTTAAGGGTAGACATTTATCTGTCATGGTAAGAAGACTATGAGTTTTAGCAGTTGAGTAATTCGGTAAAACCAGGTAAGATTATAAATTTAAGATGGCTATAGTTGTTAGTGACCATCTTCATTATAAAAATTTGAATTAGCCTTTTAAAAAACCCTGATAATACAACTATGTCAATACTCACCCCAGATCTGAACTCAGAGACAGGAGTTTCCCATACTCTCATTTCCCTGGGGTGGGTGGTAGATAAAGGTATTATGGGTTCTCTGACCAAAGAGAGAATAAAAAGCCAGGCAAATTAACATCCTGCACTGCAAAGGCCCAGCAGTGGAACATGTATCTGGTGGTGTGGTGTGATCCTGTTGCTTGCTCAATGTGTGGCTCAGAATTCCCTAAGCACCACTAAAGTTACTGTTGCTGACTCTGTAATTTAAGAACCGCTTTTAATTGCAGTCACTACTTTCCTGCCAACACTGGTTTCCCAGATGAGCAAACCGGCTCTTTTGATAAAGCTTTAGAACTTTAGCTTGATCTAGAGTAAATCAAGAAATATGAGACACATACCATCCTGACGATATCCAAGGGGTTCTCCCTGGGCACCAATATCAAGTCCAAGATCAGCAGTCTAGATAAACAGGTCCAAAGTAAGGAAGAATACAGAGCAAAATGAAAATTCTCAACTTAAAAGTATATGCTGGGCACTCTTCTAGGTGTTAGAGATACAACAATAAATAAAATTAACAAAGACACCTGGCTACCCCCAACAGGAACTGCTGACAGACAGGATGTGTTATATGAAAGAAAGAAGATATTTAGCCTGAGCAGCTGGAAGGACGAAGTTGCCATTAATTAAAACAGAGAAGACTGAAAACAGGTTTGGGGAAGGGGGTGGGTTGGGAAAATTAAGGGCTCAAGTTGCAACATGTTAATAAGATGCCTATTAAAAACCCAACTAACACATTACTCACTGTTTGGCAATCTGCATTTTTTTTTTTAACCCAACAATATCTCATTCAACAAACATAATCCACTATATGACTATGTACCATAGTTGATCACTTTGGGGAGGGTAAAATAAATTTCCAGGGTGGTTCTAATTTTGATTATTAGAAACAACATTTCAATGAACAGAACACCTGTACTGAGAACAAATACTGAAGACAAATTCACAGAATTCAAGTAGAAGAGTATATAAAAAGCTGATTGTACAAGAGACTGCCTCCTTCCTTACACCCTTTTGAAAATCTCTAATCTGGTAACATTTTCATTTTTCTCCTTCATGAATTCCAATGTCAGGGAACACAACTTGTAATGATTCTGAGCAGGATCTTTAAAGCTTGTAATTCTTCCACACAGTAATTGCTGGATAGCATAGAGAGGTAGAAATACTCAAGCCAGGGACAAAGTCAATGCAAATGAATGTGTACTAAGCGTTTTGCGGGAAAACTATAATCTGCCTTACCTGCTCTAGCAAACTACCAGATGAATGTGCTCACATTTGCCTACCTCATTCCAAGCCATTGGCTCTGTTCTGAAGAGAGAACTGGTCAGCTCAACTGAAAGCCGTTTCTTGTAATCTTGTGGTTTGTCCTCAGACATTCGGAACAAAACTGCAGCTGCATATGTTGCTGGGAGAGGAAGGGGGAAAAGGCCTGTGAGGAAAAGCTCCTTTCTTTACTGTACACATCCATGAAAGGCTTTGGTTCCTTTTCTACTTACCCACACCTTCATTCCTAGAGTGAAGTAACTCTGTCAGAGGAGCTGTGGCTCCCTCAGCTTCAATAGCTTCTGCAGCCTCCTTGTCCTGAGCAAGTTCACAGAGGACCCCTGCAGCTACTCTTTGGATATTTTCAATGGGAGAATAAAGCAGCTAAGGAGAAAGCATACACAAACAAAACCTAATTAAATCTAAAATTAAACATGGCAAGCACCCCACTATGGTGCAAACATTCCCAATGCAGAGTGTAGGAGGCATTCACACTGTTCGTATTAAATCATATTCTCTGAATTTATGTCCTAGGGTGTTTAATGCTCTGGACCACTGGATCTCTAGAATATTTTTAGCTACAAACCCATTCTTGAGAAGTAATTTTAATTGATCTAAGATTTCGAAAACCCAGAGTTGACTGGGGGCCAGTGCCCTGGCAGCCCAGGCCAGTTTTTCTTCCTCCAAAACTAAGCACAACTAAAAGTGAAGTGTAAAGTCTCCTCCCTCTTCTTAGGCTGAAGTCTCAATGTCTCTCCTTCTATTGACCAAGAAAAATGAAGAGAATTTTCGTAAAATTAAATGTTGGGGCCCTATTTTGGTCCCTAATTTTCTGAAATTTTGTTGATCATTAAAACCCTGAAATTTTATGGACATATAAAATCTCGAACACCTCACTTAAAACCAGCATACCTGCACAAACAATGGAATGGTATTTAGTCCTCTGATTACGATTCGGTTGTGAACATCCCGAGCTAGGATGTGAAGGGCTCCAGTACAACCTTCAACTATTTCTTCCATACGGACCCCCTCCTACCAAAAGAAATATGGTTATCAAATAGGGCATTCTCTTCTCTGAAGTTTATGAAGTTGAAAGGCTTTTGGTTTCACTACAGTTATTCACATTACATATCCAAACTTCCCCATAACTTGCTGTTTATTTAGGAATGAAGGAGGATTCCATTAAGATGAGTATCACTAAAAGGAGGCCTCCTGGCAGCACTAATTCCAAACGGCATCCCTGTCCCACCACACACACACAGACATACACAGACACACAAACACAGACACACAGACACAGACACACACACAGACACACACACACACACACACACACACACACACACACAACTAAAAGGAGGCCTCCTGGCAGCACTAATTCCAAACGGCATCCCTGTCCCACCACACACACACAGACACACAAACACAGACAAACACACACACACACACACACACACACACACACACACACACACACACACACACAGCTATGCAGTGAAGTACAGCCTCCATATCCTGTACCTCTGAATCCCAAAGATAACTTTTTCTTACAGCAAGGGCACCAACCACTCTGGGTAAAAGGTATATGACAAAAAGATGCACAGATGGGAAAGTAATGCTCACATGCCCCCTCTATTTTTGTACATCTGCGTTTATATTGGTGAGAACTTGGCTGTTTTATAACCAACTGTTAAAATTCTACTGAGCAGCCAGCAGAAAATCCATTCCTCACCTCTTCTAAGACTATTCAACTGATAGCCAGTATAGGAGAAGGAAGTTATTAGCTTTTGCAGAATGTAAGTACCATCTGCTTCTCCTGTTTCTGGGTCTGAGTTTTAAAAAGTTAGGACTCTGCAACTCTTAGCACCTTTTATACACAACTTGGTTTTTATAGGAGGACACAAAACTCCTTTCTTTATAGAAAAGACATTTAAAATAAAAGGTGTCCTCTTCATTCTATTAAGCCATCCCATGGGAGATGGGCCAGTATCAAAGGTAATTAATGGAGAAAGTCAAAGCCCCAATATGAGTGTATACACATAACTAGCGATATGGGATTCCCAAAATCTGTTCTGTGGGGTCCATCTTTGTTTTCTAATGTAACCTAATTAAATAAGAGAAAACTCTTTGAAGGTCTGAGTCTCAAAGTTTGAGGAATCAGAAGTGTCTGTAGATTATATACTTGTAATGAAGCTAGTTTTAAGACTCGAACTTAACATCAAAGCTTTAGGCTGAGAATATTACAGGTAAAGATTCCAGAAATGCGACTACTTAATTCTTAAGATTTGTCACTATTATATAGTCTTAGGTCCATGAAAACAGACTTAAAAAGGCCAGTTAAATATTTATAAGCAAAACTCATGTTGCAGTAGAGGAAAAGAAACCCTGAAATCAGACAGACTTGGATTCAAATTATGGCTCCACTACTTCTTAAGTAGGTGAGCCTTTGTAAGGATTAAATGAGAACATTGCATAAAGTGCCTAACCCCATAGCAGTAAACCACACCTCAGATACCCTTTGAAAGACCAACTGTGCAATGGACATGTCCAAAGAAATATTACCAGGGGCCACATTATTCCTTATTTTCTCTGCAGCTGCAGAAGCATGTCAGTTTTTTGGGTCATCAACAACCCTTCAGGAAGGAGAATGGGGAAGACCAATAAACCAAAGAAGTTCAGGATCGTTTGGATTTATACATTCCTTTTAAATAGCCAAGTGTCATTATACCTACCACAAACTGCTGCTGTGTTCCACCCATTGATGTACGGCGCTGGGTATCCTGATGTGCACGAACTAGCAACTGAACTAGTCGTGGAATGGCACCCTGCTCACGTAAAGGTGCGTGATTTGCTGGACAAAGGGCTAGATTTCGAATCAGTCCAACGGTAGCCTGCAGATAAGAAAGAAGAATTGGTATACAACTCAAAATCATTTTCTTAGCCTAAAATTCCCACCACACTAAATCAATTTGTATCAACTAAAAGTAGCTACACAAACATTTCAGAATCCCACCCCTAACCCAGTTACACTTCCTACTAACTAAGGAATACAATTCCTATTTATCAGTCCATCTGCCTAGGCAGCCATCCAACAGCTAGAGGTTCATTTTCAATTCTGCAACATTCTATTTTGATTGACAATTTACCTTTATCAGAGGCCAATGGGATGGTGGGTGTAGGAGTTTAACCACAACTGGTAGTCCATAGTGAAGGCGAACAGCATTCTGGGCCATCTCTGCTTCCTGGTGTCGGCTGGTCAGATGACGAAGAGCACAGATGGCAGGCTCAGTAATGTCCTCCCTGTCACCAGCACGAAGGACAGTACGCACAAGAGCCTCTATACCACCCACTTGGCACACCATCATTTTGTTCTTATAATTATTGCAAGTGAGGTTAGAAAGAATTCCAGCTGCACAGGTGACCACATTTATATCATCTGAACCCAGAAGCTGAACAAGAGTCCCAAGAAGACCTTCCATCCCTTCCTACGGAGATAAAAACAGATGCTCAATACATATTCATCTTGACTCTATCACCAGGGCACCAGTTTATTCAGGAATTACCTGTTTAGTGGCAGCATCTGAAAGATTCCTAAGAGTCCAAAGACAGTTCTGAACGAGACGCTGACTTGGATCTGTCAGGTGAAGTCCTAAAGCTTGCATTCCACCTAGAAAATTAAAAATTAAAAAGGCAATGGCCATTAGCTGGTAGTTCCTCACTATCAGCCCTAAATGTCTTCTTTAGCCTTAGAAAGTGTCCCTCTTTATTTCCCAAGCTTACCTCCCTCCCCAAGTACTTTACTTCTCATTTTCTAGGATTTTGCTGTTTTCCTTTTTCCATTTCACCTCACTAGTAACAACTTCTGTCAAATAGCTACTGCTCCTTTCCTATGTAGAAAAAGCCTTTATTAGCTCCACTGTTTTCCTGTAGGTAATATTCCTGTTACTTATTTCCTTTCATCCATTCAATCATTTAAAAAATATTTATCCAGAACAAGGCCCTATTCTGAGCTGTAGATATAGCAGTGAACAAAATATTCAAAAATCCCTACCCGTATTGGGCTTGTGATCTAGTTGGAAGAGGCAGACAATAAACAAATATGCAATTAATAAACTAAAACCACACAGTATGTCAGATGGTATTAAGTGCTATGGAGAAAAATTGGACAATGGAGGAAGGCTGCAATTTTAAGTAGGGAGGTCATCTCAGTGTGAAGGGGACATCTGAGGGAAGACCTGAAGGAGCTATGTAAATTCCTATGTAAGAACAATCCAGAAAGAGGGTACTGGAACACTTGTTGCCAGGGACTGTATAAAAGTCACGGTCTCCAAAACACATGCTCCAAAGGTATAAAGCCTTGCATCATTTAGGATCCCCAGTGAGGAACATTTACCCTCGCAAAAGAATATGAATAAATGGAAGCTCAACCCCCACACACTAGTTTAACTCACCTGTCTCTCTCTAACTCAAATCACTTCTGAACGCAGTGAGAAAGACTTTCTTTTCCTCGTTTCCTTGTTCATCCTCAGGTCTGTTTTATTTTCTCAAATTAGGTGAGACTTGGTATAACTGTCATGGTACCATGACAATGTAATGGGTTAGAAATCTTGATTCTCCTTTGATCTCAGAATAGGATTTTCAGGTAATGCATGAACAAGCTAAAAGGCTCTCGAGTAGGGGACAATAGTCCACAGATAAGTTTGGCAAAAGCCATCTAATCAATTCTAATCACTGTTTAGGGATGGAATTGTGTACTTTGACTGTTTTAGGTTACTGGTTTGATTCCGGCTTGAATGACAATTGACTATTTAACCTACTGATTGTTCTTAAGGTATGTTAAGGAAACTGCTTGAATGCTGTTTAAATATGCTAAAGAAATCGCTGTAGGAAGTATGTGGAAAAGAAGAAACTGCTTGAATGCTGTTTAAATATGCTAAAAAGAAATCGCTGTAGGAAGTATGTAGAAAAGAAAATGTTTACTAAGGGCAAGCTGTTTCTTGGTGGATCGACTTAGCTTTTTAAGAAATGCATTCTGGAATGTCATTGTTAATTTTACTGCTATTACTAGTTTTAGTTGTTTAAATCTATACTGAGCTATAATTCCCTTCTGTAACACTGCCTGTTTTTATGTCCTTCTTTGATGATTGAACCAACTGATTTTTCTTGTGAAACTTCCTTGTCTTGTCAATAAAAAGAAAGGCTGATTTTGGATGGGGGCTAATGTTCCCCTGATGGGCAGCAGTCCCTCCAGGCCTCATTGATGTTACCTTGAGTGAACTCTTTCTCTTTTTTTCGTCTCGGTTACACAGAGGGAAGTGTAACATGACAGCATTCATCATAACTACAATTTAGTCTATCCTCCCTACAAGACAAAGATCATCTCTATTGGATAGCTTCTGCACAGTAGCTCCAGCTACTAACAGAGTGACCTGCAGAAGACTGATGCTCAATATTTGTTAAATGACTACATTCTGTCCTCTCATAAAACTTTATTCTCTCCCCCTCTACATAACATTAACTGAGTGGATCTTAACCCCAGATGCCCATCAGAATGGCCTATAGAGACTTTAAAAACACACACACATTCTGATTTAGGTCTATGGTAAAATAGTCCCATGCAGATGACTGAAGCACTCTCCACCTCCCTTCCCTGCTGCTCTTAACCCCATACACTAAGAGGGAAATTTTGAAATCTCCAACCCTGCCTTCTCTTGCATTCTAGTACCTTACATTTCCCACTACCTGCTAACCTGTCAGTCACTCTGAATATGTCAGCTTCTTAATTTTGTTCAAAAATTAACAATCTCTTCTGATAGTNAAGAATATGAATAAATGGAAGCTCAACCCCCACACACTAGTTTAACTCACCTGTCTCTCTCTAACTCAAATCACTTCTGAACGCAGTGAGAAAGACTTTCTTTTCCTCGTTTCCTTGTTCATCCTCAGGTCTGTTTTATTTTCTCAAATTAGGTGAGACTTGGTATAACTGTCATGGTACCATGACAATGTAATGGGTTAGAAATCTTGATTCTCCTTTGATCTCAGAATAGGATTTTCAGGTAATGCATGAACAAGCTAAAAGGCTCTCGAGTAGGGGACAATAGTCCACAGATAAGTTTGGCAAAAGCCATCTAATCAATTCTAATCACTGTTTAGGGATGGAATTGTGTACTTTGACTGTTTTAGGTTACTGGTTTGATTCCGGCTTGAATGACAATTGACTATTTAACCTACTGATTGTTCTTAAGGTATGTTAAAGAAACTGCTTGAATGCTGTTTAAATATGCTAAAAAGAAATCGCTGTAGGAAGTATGTAGAAAAGAAAATGTTTACTAAGGGCAAGCTGTTTCTTGGTGGATCGACTTAGCTTTTTAAGAAATGCATTCTGGAATGTCATTGTTAATTTTACTGCTATTACTAGTTTTAGTTGTTTAAATCTATACTGAGCTATAATTCCCTTCTGTAACACTGCCTGTTTTTATGTCCTTCTTTGATGATTGAACCAACTGATTTTTCTTGTGAAACTTCCTTGTCTTGTCAATAAAAAGAAAGGCTGATTTTGGATGGGGGCTAATGTTCCCCTGATGGGCAGCAGTCCCTCCAGGCCTCATTGATGTTACCTTGAGTGAACTCTTTCTCTTTTTTTCGTCTCGGTTACACAGAGGGAAGTGTAACATGACAGCATTCATCATAACTACAATTTAGTCTATCCTCCCTACAAGACAAAGATCATCTCTATTGGATAGCTTCTGCACAGTAGCTCCAGCTACTAACAGAGTGACCTGCAGAAGACTGATGCTCAATATTTGTTAAATGACTACATTCTGTCCTCTCATAAAACTTTATTCTCTCCCCCTCTACATAACATTAACTGAGTGGATCTTAACCCCAGATGCCCATCAGAATGGCCTATAGAGACTTTAAAAACACACACACATTCTGATTTAGGTCTATGGTAAAATAGTCCCATGCAGATGACTGAAGCACTCTCCACCTCCCTTCCCTGCTGCTCTTAACCCCATACACTAAGAGGGAAATTTTGAAATCTCCAACCCTGCCTTCTCTTGCATTCTAGTACCTTACATTTCCCACTACCTGCTAACCTGTCACTCTGAATATGTCAGCTTCTTAATTTTGTTCAAAAATTAACAATCTCTTCTGATAGTTCCATTTATCTTCATGGTACTAATGTTCTCCCCACCACAAACCATTTTTGATTGCTCCCTTAGCCCTGTATTATTACATTTTATGATTCTTTCAAAATTCTCAAACATCTGTCCTTTGCTATATATTTCTAAAATCAAACTATTTCATTTCTAGAAGGCTATAACATCTCAATGGTCTAGTACTTCTTGCTTTTGGTCATTCAAACTGTTAACAAACACACCACTGTGATGCTATATGCCACTGCTCAACAACCATCAGAAGATTCTTGCAAGATGGCGGAATAGATGGTCTCCAGCATCACTCTCTCCCACAAATCAACCAATTTATAACTATTACAAAGAAATGACAGCCAAACTGGGGCCGCTAGAGCTCAGGGGAAGAGGAGGAGAGACCTGTGGACTACATGAAGGTGGGAGAAGCCATGATGAGAGAAAGAAAAAACCACTCCGAATGTTTCGAGCCCCAGCCGCTTCCAGGCTGCTGAGTGAACGGAGCAAGAGCTGGCAAAAGCTGCAGCTGTGCCCTTTGGATAAAGTTGCTTGGAGGAGGCAGGGGAGAAGAGGGCCTTGGTGGCCCCCAGGCCAGCAAGACCGCTAATAGGGTTCCTGTAGACCCACACAGGAATGAGCAGCCACAACAACTGAAAAAAAGGAGCCACTCAGAGGCCAGTGAGTCATCGCAAGGGACCAGCGCATGGCCTGTCCCATGGGAAGTGTTTGGAGCACAGGCAGTGGGGGAGACGGGCCCACCCAGAGGAACACTGGGGCACAGCAAGGACAGCTGATCCGCCCCGCAATGAGCGCAGGACCACTCAGAGGAGACTGGTTAGGAATACAGAACTGCAGAGGTACAGTTTGCTGAAAAGACTCAAGCCTAGATCAGAGTTTCCACATAACCCAGGTGCACCAGATCTCATGAGAGCTGAAGTACCTATAAAGTCAACCATTAAAACCTGAGCTGCACAAAAAGCCTTCCCCAGGGAACCAGCAGCAATTTAGCTCAATCAGAGAGCTCAAGTACTGGTTCCCACAGGAAGTTCCCCCATTTTAGAAGTAAGCAAAGAACAACAAATTAGTTCCAGCGCAGAGTTTAAGTGGTGGGAACAGAAAAATAATCCAACACAGAACTGAAAGAAAAAACAAAGTACCCACAATCAGAGACAAAGTTTGATATTAACTAGTAAAGGTCTCATTTCACCAAAGAACACCTATAACACCTAGAAGGACCAGCAGTCCCCTGGGCTATCCCAAGCCAGAAAGGGAGGACTAGGGACCTCAGCCATGCCCCCTGACACCCACAACCAGTCCAGATGGTGGAGGCCTTGGGGCCTCGGCCATGCACAAACAGCCCAGCGACAACCACTGAGCTGCTGCAGGAACTGCCCCAGGTTCCCAAGCTGGGGAGGTAGGAGGCAAGGGCTTTTGCCACACCCCCCTGACATATGCACCCAGCCCAACAATGACCAAGCCACCATTGGAAGCCCCCTGGTCTCCCCTGTAGGAATGAGGGGGGTGCCACAGGCCTCAATCCTGCCCGTCCTCCTTTCTCCTCCTTCCATCCCATTTCCTTCCCCTTTCCCCTCGCCCCCTCCCTCCCAACTGCTCTGCAACTTCACAGAATGTAAAAAAATAATAATAAAAAAAGATTCTCATTATCTATAAAATAAAGGCCAAATTCTTTAGTATAACCTTCAAGAACCCTTTAGAATGTGGATCCCACCTAGCCTTCCAAACTGATCTAAATATTCTACATCTGTGGTTCCAAAGCTGAAATAATGCATGAATAAACTGCATAAGTATCTTACAGAAGCCTAGAAAGTCCCACATGATATGGCCCTGCCTAGCTCATCAACCTCATCCTGGGCCCATTACTCACTATGTTCTATTTACACAGACTTTCTTTTCAGTACCTGGAACTCTGCAATATCTTTCCTACCTCCAGGACACAGCACATGATGTTTCTTTTCTCCACCTGGAAAGCATTTAACCCCGCCACTTCTCATATGGACAACAGGTTCCTTCTCATCCTGCAGTTCATTTGCAGTCCTATTTAACATCCCCTTCTCAGGGAGGCCCCTTCCCTATGTATCTAATTAGACAGCTCCCCTCCTCATTAAATCTGTTATCACTATTTACTATTTGGTTTTCTCATAAAACTCATGTTAATTTGTAATCACTACATATTTTTGCCACCTTCACAAGACTATTAAGAATAAGAAGAAAGGGCCGGCCCGGTGGCGCACTGGAGAGTGCGCTGCTTGGGAGTGCAGCGGCGCTCCCACCGAGGGTTCGGATCCCATGTGGAGACCGGTTCCCGCTCACTGGCGGAGCGCGGTGCAGGCGCAACACCGAGGGTTGCGATCCCGTTACTGGTCAGTTAAATAAAAAAAGACAAAAAGGAAAAAAAAAAAAAAAAAGAATAAGAAGAAGGACAATATCTGTTGTGGTACCCAATGTATACCATGTGCCTATTACACTGCTTGAAATATATTAAGTGCTGAGTATTTTCAGAACAAACAAGCTGGGTGAACTTCTTAAAATGAAGATTCCTGGGCTTCCAATCACAAGTCTGTTAGCAAAGCAAATCTTGGGTATATACAAAATCAAAATTAAAAGCATTTGCCATCATTTACGACGATTAATAAGAACTCTGCCTAAGCTAGCCTTAAGTAGCACCAATCTAGGTAGGCAAGCAGAACTTACACTTTATCTGAATGTGATTTTGGCTACAAACTAAGTAGGACCACCTACTTTCAGTCCATTAAGGTTGTTCTATTACCTTTTCCCAAGAAAAGTGATCTAATTAGAACTGCAGATGCTGTACACATGAGACTGCAAAATAGATACATCATATACTTACCAGCTTCTACAATAGCCGGCTTATTACTAGAGCAGACAGATAGCACCTTCAATACTCTGCTTGTGGTCCACAGTAGTTTCTCATAAGTGTAGGTCCTCATTATATTTACTAAAGCTTGTGGTCCACCACTAGCCAGAATGATCAGCTAGAAAGGTATGTATATACAGTTAGTCATGGAATCTTGATCAAATGCCTGAGAAAAGCCATATTACCAACCTATTTCACTGTACAAGAATTTCAGCCAGCTTGCCATCAGACTAATTATATTCCTAGACCCCATCACTCAGATCCCCACACTGAGGCTCTATCTAACCCTCCCTTCCAGAGCATTCCACTCCAACTCAGGCATCCCAGTCTTCCCAAGAATATTTCAACTCTGGCCCAATTTTCCTCTTCCCACACCGATCATAGCAAAAAGAAAAAACAAACAAACAAAAAAACACCCAAAAACCATGATGGNCAAAAGACAAAAAGGAAAAAAAAAAAAAAAAAAGAATAAGAAGAAGGACAATATCTGTTGTGGTACCCAATGTATACCACGTGCCTATTACACTGCTTGAAATATATTAAGTGCTGAGTATTTTCAGAACAAACAAGCTGGGTGAACTTCTTAAAATGAAGATTCCTGGGCTTCCAATCACAAGTCTGTTAGCAAAGCAAATCTTGGGTATATACAAAATCAAAATTAAAAGCATTTGCCATCATTTACGACGATTAATAAGAACTCTGCCTAAGCTAGCCTTAAGTAGCACCAATCTAGGTAGGCAAGCAGAACTTACACTTTATCTGAATGTGATTTTGGCTACAAACTAAGTAGGACCACCTACTTTCAGTCCATTAAGGTTGTTCTATTACCTTTTCCCAAGAAAAGTGATCTAATTAGAACTGCAGATGCTGTACACATGAGACTGCAAAATAGATACATCATATACTTACCAGCTTCTACAATAGCCGGCTTATTACTAGAGCAGACAGATAGCACCTTCAATACTCTGCTTGTGGTCCACAGTAGTTTCTCATAAGTGTAGGTCCTCATTATATTTACTAAAGCTTGTGGTCCACCACTAGCCAGAATGATCAGCTAGAAAGGTATGTATATACAGTTAGTCATGGAATCTTGATCAAATGCCTGAGAAAAGCCATATTACCAACCTATTTCACTGTACAAGAATTTCAGCCAGCTTGCCATCAGACTAATTATATTCCTAGACCCCATCACTCAGATCCCCACACTGAGGCTCTATCTAACCCTCCCTTCCAGAGCATTCCACTCCAACTCAGGCATCCCAGTCTTCCCAAGAATATTTCAACTCTGGCCCAATTTTCCTCTTCCCACACCGATCATAGCAAAAAGAAAAAACAAACAAACAAACAAAAAAACACCCAAAAACCATGATGACTCTGGCCCAATTTTCCTCTTCCCACACCGATCATAGCAAAAAGAAAAAACAAACAAACAAAAAAACACCCAAAAACCATGATGATATGCAATAGTAATGCCCAAATATGAAAGTTATATCAAAACTCGTTCGTTGAAAACTTGAACCAGACCAGGCACTTAAAACTGCTAATCATTTGACCCTTTGCTTTTCCTAATTACATCCACCTTAAAAAGAAACACCATAAAATAATCACTTACTCTTGCCCTTTTTCTTCCCTATATATCGCTATCTTTTGACCCTGCCCCAATTTTCTAAAAACAAATCTTATCACTTCATGCCTCCACTGAAAATTTGTTTCCCACTACTCTTTCAACATGTTCTACAAAGCACTGCAGAATCTGCCCTGCCTATCTCAGTTGCCCCACCTCATCCTCCTCCTTACTCTATGTGGTTCATAAATATCCCAAACCCACCATGCTTCTTCCTCTTTAGGACTTTCAAAGATGTTGTTTTCTCACCTAACCTTCACCTAGTTAATCCCTTCTCCTCCTTGAAAGCTGATCTCAACTATCACTTCCTCCAAGAGGTCTCCTTGAACCCTCAAAACAGGGTCTGTTTTGTTTATGTGCTTTCATAGTCCCTTTTCTTCCTAACACATGAATTAAATAGTAATTAGGTTATTATTTCAACATCTATCTCCCACCAAAGAATAAAAACTCAAAGAGAAACTTGCCTGCTCTATTCCTAGTGCTTGGCACAGTGCTTTACATACAAACACAAACACTTAAAGGGACAGAGATGTCCAACTTTTCTAGGCTACATACAAAGGGTGAGGCATACTGTGAATCTGTAAGAGTCCATGGAATGACATGACATAGGGGGTCTCCAATGCTCCATGAAAACCACATTAAGAACAATTTCTTTTACCTTGCTTTCTTGATTGCCATAAGCTAAAATCTGAAGGCAGTCTGTTGTAATAGCCAAAAATTTAACATTTGTTTTGTTGAGCAAGGCAACCATTTTCTGCAGCCCACCAGCTAAACGCACTGCCATTTTAGCTCCTTCTTGATGTAATAAAAGGTTATGGAGAGTTGTGATGGCATAAAACAATACAGAATCCACTGGTGAACTGGGAAGAAGAAGAAAAAAGCCTCATCAGAAATGTCGTGATTGCAGTCTTCTACTTCTCAGCTTCAAGCATTCAGACCATGTTTTCTTACCCAAGCATTTTCACCAGGGCAGGAATCCCTCCAGACTTAAAGATGGCCAACAAGCCCTCACGATGATGGGAAAGGTTGTGCAAGGTCCCAGCAGTACAACGAGCTGTTTCCACATCATTTGTATTCTGCATGGTACGTACAATAGCAGACACCATCTGAGGAGAGCGCATGATGGCGTGTCTGGAAGCTTCCTTTTTAGAAAGCTGATGGACCATAACTGCAGCCTTATTAACCACCACCTAGAATACACGGATTAAGAGGCATCATTAGTTTTCAAATACAGACATTTTGAAACTTCTCTCTTCAAAGTTTCCTTCAAAGCAGACTGAAAAGCTAGCCAAGTCACTGCATACCTGGTCCTCATCATTTAGTAGTTTTGTCAGCTCAGGGATTGCACGTGTGGCAAGTTCTGCATCATCTTGATAGTTAATCAAGTTTACAACTGCATGTTTCAGCATCTGTGATGGTTCAGCCAAACGCTGGACATTAGTGGGATGAGCAGCATCAAACTGTGTAGAGGGGATCTGCATACCCTCATCTAACGTCTCAGGGAACATAGCAGCTCGTACTCTCTGAGCTCGAGTCATCGCATACTGTCCATCAATATCTGGGAAAGGTAAATTCAACACTCACTATCCACAGTTCAGCATTTACCTGAGTATTTGTTATCCTAAGTTGTAAAAGTGACACTACAATCACTCCCTTTTCTTTACCACACCATTTTACTTACACTATTACATACTGAACTTCTATGAATAACTACTTAATTTTCAAAACTACATTCTGACTTTCAGTAAAGCAATAATACTCTTACCAGCCACTTGTTCTTGAGTGAAAGACTGAGAAAACCCCTGTTCCCACTCATACAGGACTTGGGAGGTATCCACATCCTCTTCCTCAGGATTGCCTTTACCACTCAGAGAAGGTGCTGTGGTAGTGGCACCAGAATGGATTCCAGAGTCAAGGTAAGACTGTTGCTGCCAGTGACTAACAGCTGCTTTTCTGTCTGGCTCCATGGCCATGTCCAACTCCATCAAATCAGCTGTAAAAATGAAACAGTATTAGCATTAATACATTGGAAATGTTACCTTAATTAAAAAAAAAAAATTGTGATATGACCCATTGAAATATTTTTAGAAATAAAGTCAAATCTGAAAGGCAGCCAAGAAAAGCAGAATGATAGCTAGAATTAGTTCAGTGATGAAACATCTATGCCCTTAGGGGACCACCTAACAGTTACTCACTGAATCAGTGGAGAAATGGTACTGCAGCAGGCTCCAGAAGCAGTCATCCAGACTAGATTCCTGCTGGTGGCTTGTTTGCTATTTCACCAAGCCATTAGGAGGAGTGAGCAGAAAATGGAGCAAAAGGTAGCCTGACGAGTAAGCAGGGAGAGAGGAAAGCAGGGGGATCTGAGCCAGACTGGGTTAATGGCAACGAAGCAGAGCCCCAATTCAGTAACTAAAGATTTATGACACAAACCTTGAGTAGCCATTGTCCACGCAGGATTTTCAAAACAGTTGTATGGTATACTTCAGATACCCTAAAAAAGTTAATCAGGAGTCATTAGGAATTAAACCTAGTTTCATTTTAATACTCATAAGTCACTGAGATGCCTGCTAAATGTCACAGACTATGCCTACAAAAACTCCAAATACTCTTTTACCATTTGATATAGTGAAACCATAAGGTCTCCTCCAGACACCGCAACTGCAGCTCCATCATAGCTGAACTTCTGCGTGAAAATTCCTCCTTAACAAACTCCTCTTTTTAGTAGAAATATAAATTACCAGTATTCAGGATGTTGATAAGAATGCATAAAAGCTCTAATAATGAAAGACAGGGAGGGGGAAACACTATTCAAAAATCAACTGCTCTGTGAATTTTAAAAAGCCCCTCCTTTTTTAACTTCTCACCAAAAAATTCATAGAATCCCTTTGGACAGTAGAGGTCCAATCGGATTTTAAAAACATGAAATTTTCAATAAACAACTCAGTTCTGTTCTGATACAATATAGTGCCATCTAAAATACCTTCAGTAAATATGTAACAATAAAAATAAAAATCTAAAAAATAAATAAATAAAATACCTTCAAAAAAGCAGATTTTGGTGACTGGGTCAGAACAGGAGATTTTAGATTTTTTACTAAAAAGTAAAATTACTTCTCAAATGAAAGTTTTCAACACAAATAAAATTTTACCAATGAAGGTGCTTTTTTAAGTTCAAATTCATAGCAATGATTTACTGTAAATATAAATATTACCAACTGGGATGCTATTTTGAGCAATATAAAAATTTCATGATATATATATATAAATCTTAGCATCCAATTTATGTCTGTATTTGTCTTTATTGTGTAATATTCAGGAAAAACACAATCACACATGGAATTATTTGCAAATGAGAACAGTGTAAGGACCCACAGCCTCCAAATATTTCTAATGACAAAATTTCCTTAAAAAATTTGTCCCAAAATAAGTTCATCTTGCACTACAAACTATTGGGTGTCTACAAATTAACATACTGGGTGCAAAAACATATGGAATAAGATATTTAAGTGTGAACTGTGTTTTCAATTAATGCACAAAGAAGTTTAAATGTTCAATGAAGTTGGAAACTATATGCTAACGTGGTGATTATTCCTAAAATTGCTCTTCCAACACTAGATTTTTACAGTCACAAAGACCATACGACACCTAAACTGACAGGAGTTGTGAATAGTTGTTTCGGTGTCCATAGTAGAAACAACTATTTATGTACAAGGCAAAACAGAGGACAGAAAATAGTAAAGGTGATTTCTGTACTTAAGAATTTACATTTTAAGATAATTTACTAAGCAGGATTATGTGTTCTAATGTTTTGATTCAACAGAACTGGAGCGGGGCACAGATATTTCCATTTTTAACAAACTAAGATGCAGCAAGTGATGCAGACCACACTTTGAGAAATACTATGCCGGAAGGCATCTAGATTCTGTGTCTACTGATGCTGTGTTTTAGCTTGTATCTTTTGCCTTTGTGACTGTCTATTTAACCACTTTCCCACCTCTCTGGAAAATGGGTCCTCCACTCCAGCCCCAGTATATTTCTGCAAAAGACATGTTCTATACTGAGCTTCTCCTTTGGCCAATGCCAACAGGCTAAAAAACCAACAAGTTGTGTCTACAGACATACATCTAGCTTCAAGGAAAAAATATTTATAGTACTGTTTCCTTACTGTTGATGCAAAGGCAAAACATTTTAGCCATGTTACTGGATAAAATCTGTTTATGTGGGCTGACCCGGTAACTTGACCATGATTTATAACGATTTTATAGAAAAAAGCAAGTTCATGTTCCAAACTTTTTTTTTTTTTTTTTTTTTGTCTTTTTCCGTGTCCGGCAACAGATCGCAACCCTCAGTGTCGCCCCCGTATCGGACCGGGACCGGCAACGGGATCGCAGCCCTCGGTGTTGCTCCCGCGCCTCGCTCAGCCAGTGAGCGGGAACCGGTCGAACTTCTAATATCCATTTGTACACTGGGGATTCTCAACATTATACATACATATTCTTTAGCACTTTAAAATTTATGCAACATACATTAAAAAAAAATCATCTTGCTCCTAACTAAAACCCTATGAGGCGAAGGAGAGCAAATGTTAACAATCAGCAGGTAGAGAAGTAAAAAGTATGAGTGAAAACGGGAATCTACAGAGGGAACAGCACAGACCCACTCACCCCTGCACTGCTCTGCACAGATCTTTTTTTTTTTTTTTTTTTTTTTTTAAAAAAAACCGGTAAGGGGATCTTAACCCTTGACTTGGTGTTGTCAGCACCACGCTCACCCAGTGAGCTAACCGGCCATCCCTATATGGGATCCGAACCCATGGCCTTTGTGTTATCAGCACCACACTCTCCTGAGTGAGCCATGGGCCGGCCCCCAGACAGATCTTTTAATACACCAAAACTCTGAGCACTGTTCACTAAAGAAATCAAACAGACCATACAGAGAAGTAGGGCAGAATCCAGCCCCCAAGGAAGGTCTTCCTCTAGCCAGAGCCTCAGGCCAAGGGCTGGCTCCCCTCTACCACACCCTGCCAATCATTAAGGACCCAATCCTAGAGCTCCCAATCACTTTAAGAAAACCTTCAACATCAAAGGAAAAAGTTCAAGGAAAACCAACAGAAAAACTGGCTCTATAGAAAGACACAGAACTTAAAAATGGGGTAGGATAGGGAGAGATACAGGGCATTTCAATTTAGTATCCCCATAGAGACTGGAGAGAATAAGTAAAAATAAAAAGATAGAAACTGAAGTTAAGAAAATGTCTTAGAGCATAAAGGAGAAAGACAAAGACACAAAATAAGAAAGGAGAGAGAAGAAAAAATAAGAAAGGATTGATCTAAGAGATCAAATTCCAAATAATACTCATTTCAGAAAGAATTACAAGAAACAAAAATGTGGAAAATCCACTACCAGTCAAGATGGGGGGGGGGGTGAGGAGGACAGTACTTAAAAATTACGAAGTACTAAATATTCCAAGATGCAGGTGATCACTAACTACAACTACATTAGAATGCTTTGTGTCCTGACGGCTTTATCACCACCAAGTGATGCCTTGACAAAGAGTGTGCTGGGAGATGGCCAACTTCTCATATATTTTCCCATCCAGTCTAATGAGGTGGTGGACACATGCATCCTTCATTTTTGTCTTTTTGCTTTTTAAACATATGCTCTTTCCTATTACATATTTTATAAAGAATACCTCAAAATCCATCTTGCTATTTCTGATTTAAATCCTACAAATGCCTCCTGCCAAAGTCAATGTAAGAATTCTTGACACAACCAATACAGATTTCACACTGAAATTATTTTTCAAGTTCTCATCAGGACAAAATTATCTTAATTACCTTAGTTTCCAAAAGTTTGAGTGTTACTAACTGGCAGTAACTCTGATATGTAAAAATAAAGCAGATATATTATAAAACCATAGTTTTATATTGGCAGTCCATTCTAACGATTCATTTTTCCAATAATCTGTATGAGAAGAACCAAAGCCAATTATTTATTCTCTGTTTTAAAGTAAGAAAATGCCACTCTATTTCAGGAGCATGATAAACTTTTGATGTATCTTCAGGGATTTAAAAGTTCTTAGTAAATTTTATTTGTTAATCTAAAAACACATGCATGTGCATTTTCATTAACTGTCATTGGCAATACTTTGCCACTTAAAAAATCTATAGTTTTCTCAAATCTTCCTGTTTTAGTACTTTTCATTCAACACTAGTCTTTTAAATCACAACTTAACTCTAGTTTCCTTTTTTATTTGCTCTTCAGCTGTGTGTTTGTGTATGTGTTTCTGGAAGAAGTCTTCCTGGAATGGTCAATAGGAAACAAATATCAAATGACCCTTGCTCCTCCAAACACCTAAATTGTATGTGCCTTTGGTAGTATCCTTAAAAATGAAGGTGAACAAATGGCTATTCGAAATATAAAATGTCTTTGGGGCTAGGAAAAATTAGGATGTTCCCCAAATAATCTCTTCTTTCCTTCATAATTTATTATCTTTCCTACCCCAGACATAAAGTAATATATGCTTAGTATAAAATTTTTTTTGTCATTTCCATAATATAAGTCCACCACACAGTTAATTATGTCATTTTGGTATATTTACTACTATATTAAACTTACTGCTATGTTTTTAAAATGAAAATATAAAAATCAATTCCTTGTATAGACCATTATAAAATATTATCATCTGTATTGTATCATTTGTCTATAATTTAAGCATACTTCCCATTCTTGGATATTTAGTTTGCTATTCCAATAACGCTGCAATAAACATCTTTACATACAAATAATTCTCTTAATTTCTTCTACCGCCATAAGTTCTAGTTGTAGTACTACTGGGTTAGAGTTAAGAACTTTTAAGTCTCTTTGATACATTGCTATAAAATACTGACAGAGCTTAAATTGATATTATTTCACAGAAGGCACTGTACCAATGGCCAGCTTACCAAGGGTTTGTCAGCATCAACTGTTACCTCAGACAACTTTTGATAGATATGTCTATCCATATCTAGCATATGACAGAAGGCACTGTACCAATGGCCAGCTTACCAAGGGTTTGTCAGCATCAACTGTTACCTCAAACAACTTTTGATAGATATGTCTATCCATATCTAGCATATGTACTGCCACCACCACCCCATCTTGCGAGTTTTTCAAAATTCTGAGTTTAAATGCTTATTATTATTATTATTATTGGGCTACATGTAGCCTTTTGGCTTGCCAGATTTTTGATGTAGTATGTTCTTATGGAGTATATGTATACATTATACGTAAGAAACCCTTTGAATAATCATTAATATAGAATGTTTAGGCTGACTGTGTCTTACTCTTGAACAACACAGTTTTGAACTGCATAAGTCCACTTATATGTGGACTTTTTTCACTATATATATTGGGAATTGTTTAGTCAGGTATTCATGAATGCATGACATACCTACCCAAACAGTTAAGTAGCCTACCTATCAGTAAAGTAGTGCTACTTAAGAATCAATGCCCCCCCCACACTGTTCAATGTAAATTGTAATTAGATTATGAGAGTATCTTTTGAATTTATGAATGTATCACCAATGAGTAACTTCACACACAATCTTTGGTCAGTAACAGATTCCAAAATTCCAAAGAATACATAGCAGGGGGCAAGGGGTGCGTGAAGAAAGGGAATAGGATGGAAAAAGGTATTAAAGATGGCTTCAACTCCTTAGCAGTTTGTGTTTGTTTTTTTAAATCAAACAAATATAGCAAAACTGCATCTGTTAATCTGGGTGGTGAGTACATATATGTTTTATTACATTATGCTCTTACTTTGTATAGTAAAAATAACAATAAAAATAAGAAAATAGCTACATATCAGCATTTCAGATAAAATAACTTAAATCTCAAATATGATTTTGAAATAC